ATATCTAATTAGCCAACAAATCTTGTCAGTTTTTGTAATTTCTTTTTTTTTTTTTAATTCCTATTGTTAATAATCTTGAGTACTAGATTTGCCACTTTATATCTGGACTAGTGACTTTCTAATTGATCACCGAATCTCCGGGGCCTTCCCCATTCAATTTATTCTCCAAACTATCACCACATTCATCATAACATAGTTTCCTTATGTCCCCAGCTTTTAATTTCTCCCCTTTAAGTATTGGATATTAGCACTTAAAGCCTTTTAGTCCCTGGCCTTCACTTGACCTGCTCTTGCTCTGCTCTTCACTTAACAAAATCAGTCTAAGCTGGGCGTGGGAGTGCACACCTGTGGATTCAGCTACTTTGGAAGCTAAGGGTGGAGCCCAGGAGTTGGAGGCTGTAGTGAACTATGATTGCAGGACTGTACTCCAGCCTGGGAGACAGGGTAAGACTCTGCCTCTAAAACTAAGTAAATGAATACATACATACATAAAAAATTTAAAAACAAACAAAATCAGTCTATTAAGCATGCCCTGAATATGCTTTGTTCATTCTCATCTTTAGCAACTTGTTCATTTTAGCATGCTTGCCTGGATATCTGTTTTCCATCCTAAAGCCACCCCTTCCATGATGGCATACCTCTACTATGGAGTCTCTTTCCTCACCACAGCAACCTTCTTTCCCTAAACTTCAATAAGCTTAAATCTTATCACTCATTTGGCACATAGCATATTGTACCACAAACTGCTCTCTTCCAAAGGAAATACAAGCTCATCAACATCAACTTATAGAAGAGGCACCATAGGAAACATTATTTTAACTTGGTTCTACTCAATAGACATCTGTTCTTGAGCTTCACCATTATTATCCCCCCACCCATTATAGAAATAAGACAGAAATATTGGCATCCCAATAATTGAGGTATTTTCTATTCTCCAGGAAACATATCCAAAGTTTTCTGTCACATATACTCAAAACATTTTCTTCTAACCATTTTATCTGTATTTCAGAAGCATCTCTGGTGTACTATGTTGGGTCCAACTTCTTTAAATTCTGCAGCAGTGATCCACATGTCCTGGAAGGCAGACAAGGATGCAAGAATAGAACCTCCCATCCACACTGATATTTTCCTTTCTGGAGGAGCTGTAACTTGCACGGCGGTGTTGGCAGGTGCCACCTTTGCTATATCCTTAACTAACCGCTTGTCTAAACCAGGGAAAGAGGTTGATCCCCCGGCAAGGATAATATTGGAAAAGAAGGAATTCCTCAGGCCTATATCACATTTCATTATGCTGCTGAAACATATCTTATCAATGCCAGGGGCCTCAAGGTTCATGTGACACGGAGAGAAGAGGGCCTCTGGACAAGAAAAGAGTTGGTCATGGAGCTGGAAGACCTTCCCGTCAGGTAGTTGGTAAACTTTTTCTAGACAATCAGGTTTCTTGGCCATTTCCTCATCGTAGTTCATTGCCACATAACAAAAGGTCTCCTTGATGTCTTCAACAATCTTTCTGTCTGAAGCACTAAGCAACAAGATACCATGGTTCTTCATTAGCACCATGAGGTAGTTGGTGAGGTCAAGGCCGGCCAGATCCAGTTGCTGCACACCATGAGGCAGACAGTAACCCTCAAAGATGGGCACACTCTGGGTAATCCCAGCTCCTGAATTCAGCACAAGGCCAGTAGTGAAGCCAGCAGCAAAGAGAGCTAGCACAGCCTGGATGGACATATAGAAGGCAGGAACACCCAGATGCTCAAAAAACACTTCTGTGATCTGTTGCCGGTTGGCCAGTGGGTTCAGGGCTGGCTCAGTAATCAAGACTGGACCATCACATGGCTTCAGCTTGAGGTTATAATCATAGATATGCTTCCACATGATCTCCATGTCGTCCCATGATGTAATGAGACCTCGCTCCACTGGGTAACTGTAGGGAGAGCAATAAGCTCAATTATTTTTCTAGTTTCTATTGTCTTCGACCCTCAGTTAATCACCACGTTTATTACCAATATCCCTTTATGGGCAATAACTGCCACAGCCTCTCACAGAAGGTAAATGTCAGCAAAAATTAGCACAGCTACCTACCTCTGCAATTTTTATTGCTTTCCATTTTCTCTCTCCTTTGGAAGTTTGTGACTCTCAAGAAATTGGGGGCGGGGAGCGGGAGGGGGAAAAAAAAGAAAAGAAAAAAAAAAGAAATTGGGAAATTTTCATATTATAGTATAGTTTATGTCAGTTGAAGAGAACCCAAGTGACAAAAGGAGCCACGAGTTAAGTAATATTCTTAAATGAATTCGTTCGATAACTTTATAGTTTGTATACATTTGTATAGCCACAGAGAGCAAAATGTTCAATTTTTCGATGTGTGGTAGCCTCAGAGATTTGTGGCCTGCGCGTCTGTAGTAACTCCAGCTGGCTGGGACTTTCCTGCTCCTGGCTTCCTTATCCTTTCTGTCCCCATAGCGCACATTCTTTGGGCTCCTTCCCCCCCCCCCCCCCCCCGCCCCGCCCAGCCTGCTGGGAGAAGGAGGTACCTGATGGACAGCGAACTTCTCCATGCCTGAGCTTGGTCGCCCACGCAGAGTTCTAGCCCGCCCTGGGCCGCTGGGCTCTGGCCCTTGGCGCGGCCGATAATGTTCGGGTAGAGAAACTGGGGCTCCCTGGACCCCGCCAGGCCCGCCTTGATCACTCCTGAGCCGTTGTCGATCACCACCGGTAGCTGGTAGCAGTTCATGCCGCCGCTGTCGCCGCCGGCTGTTGTCTCCGGGCGGCTCTGGCTACCGGCTCTGCAGGGGCCGACTGACTGGAACGCCGCGTCACAGAGGCGCCCGGCACCGCCCGGAGAGGCCTGAGTCTGGGGGCGCAGCCGCGGGCGGGGGGGGGCGCGGGGAGGGCTCCAGGCGCTTGGGATAGTTGGACTCACAGTGCGCCTCACGGCACCACCCGCTATTGCTTCTCGCAGGAACTGGGCCACCCCAACCCCGGGAATCCCGGAATCCCAGTATCAGGAAAACCCGACTTTCCCATCAAAAGATTAAACTCTGACACTCACAAATGCATTTCTCAAATACCCAGAAGAGCTGACCGGACGCGCTGGCTCATGCCTGTAATCCCGGCACTTTGGGAGACTGAGAAGGGCAGATCACGAGGTCAGGTGATCGAGACCATCCTGGCCTCGGTGAAACCCCGTCTCTACTAAAATATAAAAGATTAGCCAGCGCGCGCGCCTGTGGTTCCAACAACTCGGGAGGCTGAGGCAGGAAAATTGCTTGAACCCGGAAGGCAGAGGTTGCAGTGAGCCGAGATCGCGCCACTGCGGAGACAGAGAGACTCTGTCTCAAAAAAACAAACAAAAAAACCCAGAAGAGCTATAAAAGCAGTTTTATTTTCCAAAACCACTAAATTCTGGTTAACAGGTGGCGGTTCCGGGGAGTTCTAGAATTCGCCCTTGAAACTGGGGGAGAATGAGACTTAAGAGGGGGAGAGTTGTCGCAGGAAGGGAGGCAGTGTTGTGGCTTCTGAAACGTTAAACTTCTAAAATGAGGGGGAAAATGTTGGAATTTAAATTATTTTTAAGTACTTTTATTATTTTTTCTGTACCCTGGGCAATGATTTGTTATACTTCTTTCTTGTGGTTTCCCAGCAAAACATACGCAATTAAAATAGTAGTTCCTCGCTTTAAAAAAAAAATATTTTCGGACTATATCCTTCTGGTGTAATCTGCAAGCCTCATTCTCTAGTCTTGATTTTTAGCCTAAAGGACATGCCTGCCTTTTTGCAGGAAAAGGTGAAGTTTCTCAGGTCACATGAAATTCAAGTTTGGAAAAATTTAAAAGTAGATTGCATGTTAGTAAACGCATTGTGGTGTCTGATTCTGCAAACTCTGTAAAGAATTTTGAAACAAGTAGTCAACTTAGTACCTCACCTTGGTCTTCGAGAGCAAAAGGAGGAAATTCAAAACTAATTTTACACGTCCTTCCACCAGAAGCTGAAAGGATGGCTTTTTCGCAACCAAGAGCAGCACCGGGGCGGGGATTTGGGGCTCCGCACGTGGCTGGCCCTCCCCGGTCTCCGAAAGCCTCCTGCTTCGCCTTGGACTCTGAGCAGCTCGACGTGCGAAAGGATATGTAATAAAATGCTTCTTTCCCAGGAGGGGGGAAAAAAAAAAAAAAATACCCAAAAGAAGGGAAACTCCATAGTGCCTGGTTTCTACCTCGGTACCCAGGGGCTTTGAAAGAAAGTGCATGCAAATTCAAACTTTTGAAATAATTTCAGCACTGTTAAATTGGGCTTAGGTTATTTTTCACTTTCTGGTTTTTTTTTTTTTTTTTTTTAATAAATTACATGAATCCCACTCAATTTGGTCTTAATAGCTTGACAATTGGGATATGACACATGCATATCAAGGTCTTTATGAACCTCCTTCCTCAGCGAGGTTTCCGTAGTGTAGTGGTTATCACGTTCGCCTAACACGCGAAAGGTCCCCGGTTCGAAACCGGGCGGAAACAACAGGGTGCACATTTTTCTCCCTTCAAAAAAAGCGTGACCTTAATACACGCCAGTCTTCAAAAAGACATGCTCTTGACAGCGATTTGAGAGTCTGAACTGTACATATTTATGTTACTTTATTCGTTCACCACATGTTTTTATGGAAGACTTGCCTCGTGGAAGGTGTGCCATTGATAGCAATTTGAGAGTTTCAACTGTACATTTTTAAGCTACTTTATTTGTTCACCAAATGTTTGCACAGAAGACTTGCCACGTGGAAGACGTGCCCTGGGTTTTAAAAAATGAATTTGACTCACCAGCTAATACTGAAAAAATAATGTACGGCCTAGAAGGAGAGACTAATGTGTAAAAGTAGTTAGTCCTGTCGCCTCCGGGGCACTTTCGTATTTTGTCACTTGGTTTTTCATCTTAATTGATGTAAATAATCGAATTAAAAATCTAGTCCAGACGCAGGAAAACCTTTTCCGGTATAAAGCCCACCTTCCTCTAATGTTGCGCATGCCCACTGTGCCCAGCTGCTCCGCTTTCGAGCATCCTAGACTTCTGTCACCAGGTAAGGACATCCTAGAAGCTGAGCTACAGTTGGCTGGGGCACACAAAAACCTGGGGGTGCCAAGAGTTTCCAGGTACGTAAGCGGGAAAGGGGTGCCGAGTCTCAGCTAAAAAATCCCCCATGGCAGAGATCCGAGTACACATGCAGCAATTTCCATCGGTGGGGCCCCGAGGAAGGGGAGGATGATGGGAGAAGACGAGCAACTACAAGCCCCCGCACGCAGTGCGCAGCTAGCTTCTGGAAAGAGGCCCGCGATGCAGTGCTGCCCGGCCTCGGCGCAGAGCCCCGGCCGAGCGCCAGACGCGGACTGCCAGCACCAGAATGCTCGCGATGAGAAGACAGGCGGAGTACTGCGAGCGAGCGAGCTTTCAGCTCTCGTATCCATGACGCGTGCTGCTTCGTGGGACCCCTGGCCTGCAGGGGAGTGGGTCTCCGTGGGACATCCTGTCCTGCCCTGGCCGGCGCCGGACCCCCACGGCCCCGGAGCCTCCCGCGCCGCCACGGGATGACAGAGCCGGACGTGACGCTACCGTGGAAGGAAGGGAGGGGCGGAGCGTGGCACGGTGACGTCCTCCCAAAATGGCGGAGAGAGAGTGAAGAAACTGTGTTCCCCCCTTGGGTTGCTATCGGTGAGTTCCTACTTCACCCCCAGCCCTCCTGCCCGGGTCTCTCCAGAACACTGGCCATTGGAGGGCAGGCTCCTTGGAGTTCCGGCATGTGTCCGGGCGAAAGTGGAAGGCTTGGGCTAGGCAGCCCCGGCGGTGGCCTGGGCCACAACCTCTGCTGTGGGAATTCGCGGGAGTGGGAGCTGGGCAGAGGGCAGGGCGGCAGAAGCCGAGGAGGGACTGGCTTTCGTTGTCACTCTCGAAAGCCGCCTCGCGTGGATAGAGAGAGAGAGGAGAAGGTGTGGCCTCCTCGGCGCGAGTGACAGAACCTTTGACAGCAAGCCTTGGCCGGGTGCATTCCCCGCTCCCTGAGCCGCCGCCTCGCGTTTTGGAGTAACTGCACTGGGGAAGCTACAGGTTTCGATGACTTGAGAGCAATTTTTTAAAAACTCGAACTGTTCTCCCCCTGTCAGCCCCAGGAGATCATGTCTTAGTGGTTAAAAAAATTTTTTTGTAACATAAGTATGTCTACTGAGCTTGAAAATCTCAGGGTTCAACTGATGTGAAAGCGTCAGGTTTTGCGGTGCTTTTTTCAGGTGATAGAAGTGTTTCCATTCACCGTCATTTATTGATATGTCTAAACGATTGTGTTAGTTGGTCAAGGTAAACAAAGATAGAAAGGCACTCATTCCTTCATTATTAACCATATATGTTTGATAAATGTTTTCAAGGCGGGGCTAGAATTGTTAAAGTTACGTCTTCTGTCCCTTCCCTCACCAATTGCTTGGGTGAACGTTGACGAAAACTTACAGTTACTGATTTACTATTTCTTTTTGTCTCTTAGATCAAGGGTAAAATTCCATTCTGATACCAAAATGCAGTATTCGCACCACTGTGAGCACCTTTTAGAGAGACTGAACAAACAGCGGGAAGCAGGTTTTCTTTGTGACTGCACCATAGTGATTGGAGAATTCCAGTTTAAAGCTCATAGGAATGTGCTGGCCTCCTTTAGTGAGTATTTTGGTGCGATCTACAGAAGCACTTCTGAGAACAATGTCTTTCTTGATCAGAGTCAGGTGAAGGCTGATGGATTTCAGAAACTGTTGGAGTTTATATACACAGGAACTTTAAATCTTGACAGGTAAAGTACACATTTTATTTTCAGTTGTCAAAGCTAGTCAGTACTCTTCACAGCTAAAGTAGATCTGTATTTTTTCCATTCATTCTCTGAACTCAAATTCTTCAACTATTTATGCACACAATGTTTGTTTTTATAAAGAAATCAGTATCACTGATTTGGGATAAGCAAGCAATATTTCATAAGCACAGAAAGCACAGATTTTAAACAGTAAGATTTTTACTGAAACAAAGCCTGTGATTTATTTCACTTATGTAAACTTGAACATCAAACACAATGCATTTTTTTTTTTCTTTTTTCCTTTGATACTCTCACCCAGGCTCGAGTGCAGTGGCATGATCTCGGCTCGCAGCAACCTCCTCCTCCCAGATTCAAGCGATTCTCCCACCTTAGCCTTCCAAGTAGTTGGGACTACAGGCGGGGGCCACTGCACCTGCAAATTTTTTTATTTTTGGTAGAGACAGGGTTTCACCATGTTGGCCAGGCTGCAAACACAATAAACTTTAAGTGACTTCCAGTTTCCCATTGCTTTTTGGTCCTTAAATTCCTCTGGTCTTCTCTCTCTCTCTCAATTCTCCATCCCTTATGTCTTAAGATATTTGAATGGAGTGTAGATGGGGAAGGAAGAACCTCTGTGCTCATATAACATTGCTGCCATTACCAACCATAAATAGTGTGCAGAACCTCTTCCTGATCTTGATTCTGGAAAATAACTTATTTGGAAAGTGAATGGCAGTGACTCCTGTTATCTCTATTAACCTACCAGTACTAATGCTGAATTAAGGTCAGAGATGCTAGAATGCTTCTCTAAGATGCTTACAGCTGTCACTGCATTAACAAGAAGTGGGTTTTAGGTCGGGCGTGGTGGCTCAAGCCTGTAATCCCAGCACTTTGGGAGGCCGAGGCTGGTGGATCACGAGGTCAAGAGATCGAGACCATCCTGGTCAACATGGTGAAACCCCGTCTCTACTAAAAATACAAAAAATTAGCTGGGCATGGTGGCGTGTGCCTGTAATCCCAGCTACTCAGGAGGCTGAGGCAGGAGAATTGCCTGAACCCAGGAGGCGGAGGTTGCGGTGAGCCGAGATCGCGCCATTGCACTCCAGCCTGGGTAAGGAGAGCGAAACTCCGTCTCAAAAAAAAAAAAAAAAAAAAGAAGTGGGTTTTGAGGAATCGATAATGCGGGCACTGTGTCTCCTCTGTATAATAAGCTGTATAATTAGACTAATACCAATACATTTACTGATTGTAGGGAAGAGGTGGAGGAGATAAAAGCAGAGAAACTGATTAAATTATGCCTGTCTTATTTCTGCCTCTCAAGAAAGTGAACATGAGTAGACTGTTCATAATCTTCTGCCATAGGAAGATTATAGGCTTTGGAATTAGTTCTTGCCTGTCAGTCACTATGTCTCCTTGAGCATGATGCAGTCTCTCTGGGCTCCAGTTTCTCTATCTGTAAAAATGAGATGGTAATAACTACTGTGAGGCTAAACAAGGTTACTTGATCCTTATTCACTTCCTGGTGAACATTAATTTCTTTCTTTTTCTCTTCTTTACCCTCCCCTCCCCCTTTAATTCCACATTTCTCAGAGAAAAATTAGAAAAATATAAATAAATAACAAAATAAGAAACACTTGAAAGTCTGCTACCCACTGATAACCCGTTAACCTTTTAATATATATTCATTCTTTTCCAGATCTCTGTAGAGATGTGCATGTATGCATTAAGCAAAATTCTTCCCTCCATTTTATATTGCAACTTGTCATGGAAATATGCTTATTTAAAAATCTAGAATCAGGGTGCTCATTATTCCTTTTGACAAGGAAACATTCTTGTGTAAGAAGTATCCAGTATGGGGAGGGGAGAGAGATAAAAGTAAACTTCCATGCTATTTTGGAATTATTTTTAAATTTTGGTATAATGAAATCTTCAAGCGAGTTCTGTATAAGTTGATTAAAGGAAAAGAACAGTGTGAATTTTGGCTGGTCTTCAATTTAGTGGCTTCCCTTTCTCAATTATGCCAACAAAAAAAAATTGATTTGAATACATGCTAGAGCACTTTTCCTTGAGACTTCATGGAAAGAACCAATGTGAAGAACAGCCAGGTGTTTTGTTCAGTCTCTTTTGGAACATATCTTTCCTGGGGATCTGGGGAGCCAATTCTTTGAGTTCAGCTAGAAATGTAAGAGAGGATTTATACCAAAATAGAAAGGCTTATAACTTAGTGATTAAGAAAACAGGTAGAATAATAGAATTGTCTCGGGGGCCAGATTACCTTGGTCAAATCTTTGTTCTAACATTCTGTGCTCTTGGACAAGTTAATTTATTTCTTTGGACCTCTAATTTTTTATTTGTATGTAAAATGAGGATTTATAATAGATTTCATAGGCATGTTCTGAAGATTAAATGAACTAATCTTATAAAGTATTTAGGCATATACCTGGCAATATGTAATTAAATGACCTTCAGTGACTCTTCACAAGATGAAAGCAAGTTCGGAAGCACTGTTATCTATAATACTTGTAAAGGAAAACAAATCTGTTATTGAAGTAAACAAGTGTTGATCGGTGCTCTTCACTGTGACTTAGATTGTAGCCATCTATGAAATAGTTTGTATGAATTACTATTTCAGTATTGAACAGTTTTTTTTAAAATAGTGCCTTGCTATAATTTTTTTTTTTTTTTTTTTTGAGACAGAGTCTCAAGCTGTCGCCCAGGCTGGAATGCAATAGCATCTTGGCTTACTGCAACCTCCGCCTCCCCGGTTTAAGCGATTCTCCCACCTCAGCCTCCTGAGTAGCTGGGCTTACAGGTACCCGCCATTATGCCCAGCTAATTTTTGATAGAGACGGATGGGATTTCACCATGTTGGAGGCTGGTCTTGACCTCCTGACCTCAGGTGATCCTCCAGCCTCAGCCTCCCAAGTGCTGGATTGCCAGCATAAGCCACCATACCCGGCCTTGAACAATTAATGTATGACTTCCTGCTGTCTTGTATTGGTCTTAAAGGCTACCTGACCTTGTTATCTGTTCGGTGGTTCATTTTATGGAGCACCAAACACAATTAGAGACCAAAAGATCTTTTTTAGCGGCCTAGACCAAAAGACAATTTTTAAAAAGTCATTGTGATGCTAAATTAAATAAGGTGAAACATACATGTGGCACTTGAGGCAAAGCAAGTTTAATTAGAAGATGATGAGAACATAGGTAGAGATTTGCACGTACTGTAGGATACTTTTAGAGATCTTAGAGGTTCATGACACTAGTTATTTTAAATTTTATTCCAAATGTTAGTCCTTTTTAAAAAAAATAGTATCACCAGCACTATATTTATATTGTTAGCTATGATTAAAACCTTTTCTGGCTTACACTTAAAGAGGTAAAGAGATCATCTTCCCAAAGAAACCATGTTTCAGGAAAAAATCATTCTGAAACCTATTCCTCTTAGTGGCTTCCTCTTGGCAACACTGGCATCACCAGGGAGTGTATTAAGAAATGCAGGCTGGGCCGGTGGCTCACACTTGTAATCCTAGCACTTTGGTAGCCGAGGTGGGAGGATCACTTGAGGCCAGGAATTCGAGACCAGCCTGGGCAGCATAGCGAAACCTTGCCTCTACAAAATAATTTAAATAGCCAGGTGTGGTGGCACATGCCTATAGTCCTACCTACTTGGGAAGCTGAAGCAGGACAATCACTTGAGCCCAGGAGTTTAAGGCTGCAGTGAGCTGTCATTATGCCAGTGTACTCCCACTTGGGCAACAGAGGAATATCCCATCTCAAAACAAAAAAAAAAGAACTGCAGAATCTCAGGCCCTATCATAGACCTGCTGAATTTGAATCTACGTTTAACAAGATTCCTGGGTGATTCACATACACAATGAAGTTTGGGAAACATAATTAAAGTCCCTCACAGGGGAGCAGGAGAAAATAGTAGGAAACAACTGTCATTAGACTTTTCCTCTTGCCAATCCAGAAAAGTTGGTTGCTATCTGAAGAGGCCTCCGGATGAATGGGAGGAGGTAGGGAGGTGCCAACAGCTATTTTTGTGTTCTAGATTTTTTAAAAGCCAGAAAATTTAACATTTAATTTTTCTGCAGTTCATTGACAGCTGTGAATAGCCATTATCCATCTCTTGAAGTTCTGTAAAATTGGAATTTTTACCTAAACATTATTCTGAATGAATTTATAAATATTCTTTTCTCTTAGTTATACGCCTTTGTCAGCATTCTACTTCATTAGGTCTTTAAAATACATTGAAATATATATGCAGCTCTGTTTCAAAAAGTTTTTCTTTGATCAGAATATTGTCATGTAGCCTTGTTTCCTTACAGTTGGAATGTTAAAGAAATTCATCAGGCTGCTGACTATCTCAAAGTGGAAGAGGTGGTCACTAAATGCAAAATAAAGATGGAAGATTTTGCTTTTATTGCTAATCCTTCTTCTACAGAGATATCTAGTATTACTGGAAACATTGAATTGAATCAACAGACTTGTCTTCTTACTCTGCGAGATTATAATAATCGAGAGAAATCAGAAGTATCTACAGATTTGGTTCAGGCAAATCCTAAACAAGGGGCATTAGCAAAAAAGTCATCTCAAACAAAAAAGAAGAAGAAGCCTTTCAACTCCCCAAAAACAGGGCAGAATAAAACAGTGCAATATCCCAGTGATATTTTAGAGAATGCATCTGTTGAATTATTCCTAGGTGCAAATAAACTGTCCACACCTGTAGGAGAACAAGTTGCACAAATAAATGATAATTCAGAACTCGAGTTGACATCAGTTGTGGAAAATACTTTTCCAGCACAAGATATTGTGCAAACTGTTACAGTGAAACGGAAACGTGGAAAATCACAGCCGAACTGTGCTCTGAAAGAACACTCTATGTCTAATATAGCCAGTGTCGGGAGTCCTTACGAGGTGGAGAACTCCGGGGAAGAGCTGGATCAGAGGTATTCCAGGGCCAAGCCAATGTGTAACACATGTGGGAAAGTGTTTTCAGAAGCCAGCAGCTTGAGAAGGCACATGAGAATACATAAAGGAGTCAAACCTTATGTCTGCCACTTATGTGGAAAGGCATTTACCCAGTGTAACCAGCTGAAAACCCATGTAAGAACTCATACAGGTGAGACGGGTGTGTGGGGAGATATAACTATTTTTATACTATGACTAAAATAGTATATTTTTATAGAGAGTACTTAGCACACACTACTTGTGACCAAAATTTGGTATATGTTTCTATTCATCAAAGTATTTAACAGTGTTAAACTATTGAAAATTGTAATTGTAACCAAGTGTTTAATGGCTGTTTAAGCCCTAATGCATCAACTGTTCATACAATTTTCCCTCAAAATAAGCATGTTCATTCTAACTTACCAAGTATTTAACAGAGACAAAGCCATTAAAACTGATAAAGAGAAAATGTAATTACAAATCAGGCCAATTTTCAGATATTGCCAACACTTCTTATTACAGACTTCTTAGACTTTGTTGACCTTTGAACATGTTCATTAGAAATACACATACAGTGTTTCCTCAGCTTCTACAAGTACCTTTATTTTGTATGTCCTCTGGTGGCAAAGTATGAGCATACATTGGTACTTTTAGATTCATACTTTTAAAAATGCTGTATGTATTTCTCTCATTGTGAATTCAGAAACACTAATTTCTTCTGATTCTACTGGCGTTTTCAATGGTCTAGAAAGAGATTTTATTTGTTTTCAGTTCTAGCAGTAACATTTTCTGAATACCAAAGCTAGTATTGTTGATGAAATCTGGTATGTTTTATGAAACTGAAACACTATTTTCTTCTAAATATAAATTTTATTTACTTATTCCTTTAGGTGAGAAGCCATACAAATGTGAATTGTGTGATAAAGGATTTGCTCAGAAATGTCAGCTAGTCTTCCATAGTCGCATGCATCATGGTGAAGAAAAACCCTATAAATGTGATGTATGCAACTTACAGTTTGCAACTTCTAGCAATCTCAAGATTCATGCAAGGTAAAAAAAACCAGATGAGTTGTTTGATCTTTTAGTCTTTTAATCATCATAGGCTTATGAATAGACTATTATATTAGAATTCAGGACAGTAGAATTCTAATTGTGGTTCCACCAAACAATGTTAACACATTCAAGGCATCACAAGGAAGCCATGGTAGCTGATAGAAAATAAGCAGGCTAGGGGGAAGCTACTAGGAAATAAGGTCAGTCTGGTCCAGAAATAAGATCAGAATGGTCCAGAATGCAATTTAAGAGGATCATTCAGGCTGCTAGGATTATAAGAGTGTAATCAGGGTAAACAGGAATCTATAGATAAAACTCAAGCAAGGGTGATGGTAGTTCAGACCAGAGTGGTAGCAGTGAAGGAAATAAGTAGTAGTAGATTCTGGATATATTTTAAAGTTAGAAATAACAGAATTTGCAGACAGATTGTATATGAGGTCTGAAAGAGAGTCAAAGATTATTCTGGCAACCCCTATAAAGATGGAGTTGCCATTAATTGAGATGGAGAAGGTTTGTGGGTAGAACAGCTTAAGTGGAAGTGCAGGAATTTAGGAGTACAGTTCTGAGCATGTTAAATTTGAGATGACTTCTGAATAGAGATGTGCCATAGATAATTGGTTATCTAAGTCTGCAGTTCAGGGGACTGGTTTGAGCTGAAGATACCAGCATCAGCATATGACAGTATTTAAAGCTATAATCCTGGATAAGGTCACTAAGAGAGTGAATGTGGACAGAAGAAATCAGAAGATGGTCCTGAGGCACTCAAATTTTACGAGTTCTGGGAGATGGTGTGAGAACCAGCAGAGGTAACTAGTAAGGAGCAGCCAATAGAGGAGGAAAACCATGAAAGTGGGCTGCCCTGGAATCCCAGGTGAAGGAAGTTATTCCAGATGGGAGTGATCAAATGATCAATTGTAAAAATCTGTGATAGGGAGATGAAGACTGAAAATTGATGTGGATTTAGCAAAGTGGGAAGTCAGCTGTGCTCTCAAAAAAAGCATCATTAGTAGAGGCTAGTAGAGAAGAAATGGTAGTAGAATACTTTGGAGTCTCAAGGTTTTGGTAAAGGGGAGCAGAGAATGAAGGAGCAAGTAAGGTCAAAGGTCTTTCTTTTTATTAATATGGGAGACATCAGTATATTTGTATACCATAATCCAATGGAGTGAGAAACATGGATGATGTAGGATTGGAGAAATTGCAGAAGTGATATTATTAAGTAGGTCCTCAGGTATACAAATTGGAATTGATGGATTCGGATGAACTGTCATCCTCATGTTATGAATTATTCTCAGTGAAAGCAGGGATGTCAGCTGAGAGTGACAATGGGCAAAGAGAGGCTGATGGTTTGAGGAGAGTTTTGATGAGTCAAAGAGTGACTAGACTCATGAAAATAATTGCCTGCAGTATTAGGATTCCACTGACAACCTTATAAAGATCAAGGAAAAACTTTTCGAACTGATCTCAAAACTAATGTTTTGATAGTAGCTAAAATATTTGTTTTTGGCATTGTTTACACTGAAACAACTACTGATTTTAAATACATAGTCTTGGGTTGTTAAGATGACATGAAATAAAATGTGTAAAAAACTTTATGAAATCTTGCTATATAGATTGACCTCCAAATTGTTTTACTTAAACTTTATATTTATTTACTAATAGGAAGCATAGTGGAGAGAAGCCATATGTCTGTGATAGGTGTGGACAGAGATTTGCCCAAGCCAGCACACTGACCTATCATGTCCGTAGGCATACTGGAGAAAAGCCTTACGTGTGTGATACCTGTGGGAAGGCATTTGCTGTCTCTAGTTCTCTTATCACTCATTCTCGGAAACATACAGGTAAGTTTGACAGGGAGACTGCTTTAAATAAAGTTACAAATAAAAGAATTTGGACCTTTACCAAAAGTAGATTGGAAACTTTATAGTTAGATATCTCTCTATACTTCTGTAAGCTATGTTTATGATTTTCACATATCTGTTAAACATAAAAGCTGACTTATTTTCTAGAGTAATGCAAGGTGCGTGAAATAAATTATGTAACTTACACATTAAAATCAGTGAGATAATTTTGATAATATATAAACTTGCAATGAGATGCATTTTGTGACTTTAAAAAATCTTTTCAGCTTCCTAAAGCATCATCTCCTATAGTTAGGGTTGGGGAGTGGGTTTGGGTCGAACATTGATTTTTTTTAACTTCTTAGGACCTTTCCTACACAGATATTCTGAGATTTGCAAATTAAATAATTCAGACGCAAAATAGCAGTTTAAAAGCAAACTGTGTTTTTAGGGGATTTTTTAAAAAGACTTACCTACTTTTATTCTCCTTTATTAATGTAGTAGATAGGAAGAACAGAAATGTGGGTTTATGAATTTACATACTCTTAATCATATAAAAATCAAATTCCTTGCCCAAATCATCTCTATTAGAAGGGACATTTGCAGGAATAAAGTTTTAATATATGAAAACTTATGAACAGTATAAAATAACTACTAATATTCATTTACTTGGATCACTGAAAATACCTCTAAAGTATAATATAGAGAGGTTTTAAATAATATTTCAGAAAAGCTTACTTTAGGTTATTTGTAATTGATAAATATTATATTGGTATAGTACACCACTTCGCTATCTTTTATTTTCCATCTAGGTGAAAAACCATACATATGTGGTATTTGTGGGAAAAGTTTTATTTCCTCAGGAGAGCTCAACAAACACTTTCGATCCCATACAGGTCTGTGTTTAGGGAGAATGTATTACTTTTTGTTCTCTCTTAATTTCTTTTTATGTAAACCTTGACTTTTAAGCCATTATGGACTATATGGTATCTAGTCATACTATACCTAGCAATATTTTATATTTATATCTGTATAAATATCAACTTATTTGCCTATCCTTTTTTTTTTAGTTGTTTGGAGTATGAATTAAATTTGTTAAAGAATTGTGTTGATTTTCCAAGAAATATGCCAGATAATCAATAGTTTTTAAATGATTTGGATTAAATTGCACAGATATACCAAGAAATGAAAAGGAATAGGTAATACCAATATAACATCAGATTTTCTTATTAAACAGTGTTTAGTATGCAAGTTTTAGGAACAAATTTTAATTTTGACATATTTATTGTAAAAATAGTTTGTAAATTGTATGAAGAAAATATTGAATGTAAAAAATTTTAAAACAAAGGAAAATGCCACTTTGAAAGAGTACTGTTCTGACATTTTCTTTTTAAAAACTCCTCCTCATAATTCCTGCCTAGAATAGTATGAGTAGTTAATTGAGATATAGTAAGTTTTTGGTGACTTTATATTCTCATGCGCTTTAGTTTATACCATAAAGCACTGAACAGTTCTTATTTCTAAAGTATAATATTATAGCATGTTGTTAGTACGTTTTAAGTATTTTCTAATTCTTTAGGTACCTGAGAGCAGAAACAATGATTATTACACATACTTTCCCACAACTATATCTCTTAGCCAATGTCTGGCATATAATCGACACTCACTAAATATTTCATAGAAGTGCAAAAATACGTTTTTGTTTATTTGTTTTAATTTGCGAGTAAATTTCTTTTCGTGAAAATGTTCCCTTTTTCTGAGATACAGATGTTTTGTATAAAGGAGTGACTAGGTTGTGTAGAATCTTTTGTTTCACTATATTATAACCAGGTGATTGGTAATTTGAAACCAAATTTAAACACCATAATAATTTTTGCCTTGTGTTCATAAACATTGATATTTTTGTCTTAGCTAGCAGCTTTTAATATATTGAAGTTTAAACTTTTTAATTTGTTTTTCAGGAGAAAGACCATTTATCTGTGAATTATGTGGTAATTCTTACACTGATATTAAAAATTTAAAGAAGCACAAAACAAAAGTCCATTCTGGTAAATGCTGTGTGTGTGTGTGTGTGTGTGTGTGTGTGTTTTAATATAATTTGGTGCTCATATTGGTGCTATTCCTTAAAATGTTGAGATGAGATGTACATTTAAGCAGTATAAATTAGATGTCTATTTTGAAAAGTAGACATCTACATAGGAGGAAAGTAGCTTTTTTGCAGAAACATTCAACTGTGGATTTCTTTTCATGTTGAGCCTCTTATTAAAAAAATACTTGAAACATTTCCTCCTTTTAAAACCTGACTTAGTAACAGTCCGAAGCATAAAGGAACATATAAGTAAGCTATATCACTGTTCCTCATACTGGAGTCTGGATAACTCAGGGTTTACTATGGTTATTATGGAAAAAAGGGGGTGTTATCAACACTAATCCAGAAATGTTTAAGAGAAAATAGGGAAACAGGTAGCCCTACACTGTTATAATATATCAAAATGGAAAGCCAGACCCCAAGGTTTCAGTCTGCTGGTTAAAATAAATCCTTGAAAAAGTTTCCCTGTGCTTACCATTTTATTCTGTCATTACTAGAAATGACACTAGGTCCCTCTGGTGTATAAAGATGACAGTAAGTCTCTTAAAATAAATATAAACATAACTATTAACTTAGAAACATCTGAAAACTGTAGTAAGTCATTGATTTAACTACTTGTTAAATTTTTATAAAGTATACATAACTGTTTAGGGAATATGAAGTTGAACAAGGCATAGTTCTGATACTCTAAAGAGCTTACAACCTGGTGTTTGAGACCAGAGACCTAAATAAATAATTACAAGGGAAAATGTAGGACATAATCAACACAAAAGTACTAAAGAAGATACTAAGTTTTTCTGAGGTAAGTACTAGAAAAAGCTTAATTTTAGGGAACTTGAAGGTTGGAGAAGAGTTCAAAGATGGAGATGGGAAGAGAGAATTCATTCCAAGCAGAGAACATTGTAAAGAGTCAATGGGACAAGAAGGAAACCTTGGCTAGTTGAAATGAAGAATAGCTTGGGAAGAATACAGATAATTACAGTTTTAAGAAAACAAATATGCAGTTTTGTCTACCTAACAAGGACAGTGAAACTGAAATCATGTTGATACTTTATAGAGTAACAGGAGCATGTTAAAGCCATTTGAAAATTTGAAGGCAAAAGTATATCTTTTGTCAATGTGCTAATTGCTCCCTTGAGTAGAGCAGAATTTCTCACCTGAAAATATATGAAAGTACCAGACACATTCTGAACTCGCAGAATAATATAAATTACTCATTAAAAGCATTCAATGAACAAATAGAGTATTTCTTATCACTATTCAGTACTTTGAGGGAGTTAAGAGTATAACTTGACGTTTACTCTCAAAGAATTTCCAGTCTAGTTGAGAATTCAAGGTATACCTGAGTAGAATGGCAATAAGAGGTGGACGCCACAAGACAGCATGTGAAAATTGACAAATGTGTGGTAAAATAGATAAAACAGCCCACCCTGTTTCATTCTTAAGTCCATTTTTTTTTAAATGGAGTTGGTGCTTGAGCTTAACCTGAGGCCCAGATTGAATTTACATAGATAATGAGGAGGGCATATCTACAAAAAAGAAACTGCTTGAGTAAATGTATGGAGGCTGGAATGTAATTTCTAGGAATGGTCAAGTACATTAGTCTACCTCGGAGGTTTAGTTTTGTTTTTGAAGATAATGTAAATTTTTTTCCCTTCCGTTTTAGGTGCAGATAAAACTCTAGACTCCAGTGTAGAGGATCATACTTTGAGTGAACAAGATTCCATACAAAAGAGTTCTTTATCAGAAACTATGGATGTGAAACCTTCTGACATGACTTTACCATTAGCTCTTCCACTTGGGACTGAGGACCATCACATGCTTCTGCCTGTCACAGATACTCAGTCTCCTACATCAGATACATTGTTGAGGTCAACTGTGAATGGATATTCAGAACCACAGTTGATATTTTTACAACAATTATACTGAATGTGAGGAATATGGAATTGCTAAGATGTCATTGATAGCAAACATCTCTGGTAAGGTGCATATATTCATATTAAATTCCCATTCGTTTGAGTTGTGACCATTATTTTTCATTCACTGAAGTAAAAGCACCTGATGCTGCATCACAACTGCAGTGTTTGTTTTTATTTTTGGCTTTTATGTCTATACACACAGCTTTTTAAGGAATTAATTATGTAGCACTATTTTGGGTGGATGAGTTTTATTTTCTTTTAAAGCTGCCTTAATTCCATTTTTATTTTGCATTTTAGAATTGCCCTTCATTTACTACATCAGCCAGTTAATGTGATTCAGTTTTGACCTGTGGGATTTAAAATTTTTACCGCCCTCAGAATTTAAGCAAAATCCATGATAGTATCAGCCCAAGAATGTGTTGTTATTTGTAAGCCCCACATAAACTATGGAGAAAAAATGAAATTTCATATTTCTGCTCATGAAAATTTAGTTACTGAGTAAGAATTGTACTGTTTCTCTATTAATATATTCTGTTAGAGATAACTTTTCTAATGAAACAAAAACATGTTTCTCAAAATCTAGAAAACTGCATATAAAATTTTGTTCATTTAGGACTCGGTATTCTGGAGAAAACCGATGGTCAGTACTTTTGGTTTATTTAAGATTATATTTTCAAAATGAACTTTAAATAGATAATTGGTGTTTTTATCTCAGCAAAGACGGTTTCAAAATTTGATTCAGTTTGTTTTATTCCATTTCTAGAATATTGGAAATGAAAATATACTGAGTTTTGAAATATTTTGGCAAGCCTCTCTTATGCCTGTTAGGCACTTTTTAAAAGAAATACTAAATTCCAAAAAGAATTTTCTAGATATAAACTTAATGCATACTAGAAATCAGTTGACTTCTAAATTTGGTACATTTTATTGGGTAAAGAGTTAAGAAATTAACTTCAATTATAAGTAAACATTTTGAGTTAGCAGAAAGCCAGCTTATTAAATATTTTATATTTGAGTTTTCTATAAGTTTTGGGTTTGTTAATTTTATAAATTAAACCACAACTTTTGGTAGTTGTTGTAGTTTCACAATGGTCCATTTCCTTCAAAATGAATATAAAAAATTCCTTATTATCCCAATATTTGCACTACTCATCCCTATACCACTTTTCTCACATATTAATTTATTTCACTGCCTGATCTTTGGATATGAAATTATCAATTCCACAAAGTCAGTTTTTATAGTGCTGATCAAATACTATGGTGACATTCTTCCTTTTTCTTTTTTTTTCTCCAAGGCTGTTTCTCTGTGTGAGATGACATCATTTCTTATTTCTGTCGTGGTGTGGCTTATTTGTTTTCTGCTTTTAAACCACACCTGTAGTACAGTTAGTATGTTTTTTATTGCTATTGATTTCTTTAATTCACTAATTTTCTTTATTTAGGACCCAAGTCATAGGAACCAATTAGAGGACATAATAAAAGCACTTAATGCTTGTAGTCTGTTGCAATCTTCACTATTTCAGAGCACACACACTATTTCCTTTTTTTTTTTTTTTTTTTTTTTTTTTTGAGACGGAGTTTTG